GAATAATATGCCTTGTTAGTGAGAGCAACTTTAACATGTATTAGAGCATCGCATTATAAGATATACTCGTATGAGGAAAAATCACAAACGGTAAAATTTTAAAGTACGATTATGTAAATATAATTAATTATTATCTTAGCTAATCGTCATAATTAGGTATACAAGCCATAGGTCCCTACTAGAACTAGGTACATTTTGAATTCTGATGTTTGGTTCTATACGGCCTATATCGACTCACACTGTGAAATAGGATTATTATAGGAACACAATATGTAGATAAATTGTAATGATTAATAATATGTAAATATCATAAATATTAATACGTTTTTAACTTATATTCACTAGTGACTAATGTATATAGGTGTTCTAAAACAAAAGTTATCTTTTATTGACAAACAGAATTACCCAAGTTTTAATTTATCAACAAAACAAAATGCAAGAAACAAGTTTTTGAAATAATATGTTCAAAAATCATAATTATTAACGTTAAGAAACGTATACAGAAATATATTATCTATAAATCATTCTGCCATATATAATAATTGAAATATTTGATTTTCATTCTTTGTTAGATCCGTCTAAGCCACTTATTAGCTACCTATGCCTATCTATATATTATTATCTACAAGTTACTACAACAGTCAATACTTATGTAAAATAATGTAAAATACCGAAACCCTTTAAGATGCATTATTATTGGCCTCCTTTCTCTCTCCAACATTGTTCTTTCCTTAAAAAAAAATGTAAATCCGCTGTAAAATATGATAATAATTTGTTATACGCGTCTTATATTTATATAGTAAGTTATACCCATACCTGTTTAGGGTAGTCTTGATTTTTTATAATTATAATTGTACATTATATTATATTTATATATCATATGACTGTATACATTTAACTCATTTAAGTATTCTAAAATTAAAATACATATTAATTTATTATTAAAGATACTCATTAAGCAGTATAATAGAATAATATGTGCTTGGCGTGACGCGGTTGCTGCAATCAGTCACGTAACGTGATTGAGAGTACGCACCATCCACTGCCACTAGTTCCTGGATGGGTGACCACACGGGTTATTGGTGGTAAAAAACCTCGCCACACATACACTAGTTGCCAAACCAACTGTACCAATCCCACAAAAAACTGTAAGCCCTACATAGCTAATTATCATAGATGCTGGGCTCAAGACAAATAAAAAAAATATATTTATATACTTATATATATATTATTATGTACATTATAATATATATTCATTATTATCATATAGACATATACATATATATTATATAGTATGTATACTTGTTTAGGCAAATGCATAGTAATACCTACCTACTTATAGTAATAATAAGTAAGTTATTACTTTATTCTGTAATACGAATTTGATACAAGTACTATAATAGCAGGCTAATATGCCAACATACTAAACAGGTGGTAAGTACTAGGTACCTAAATATACAGTGGTCAGTGGTGAATTGGTCTGTTCAAATTCGGCATAAATGCATCACCGCGTATTAAATATCGGGTCGTCGGTCATGCAAAATGTATCGATTTACAACACCAGCTGAAAATCTAATATATATTTAAGTAGGTAACATAGGATGTCCTACTCATGAAGTCATAGGATGGTCTGCAAACGAGCTGCGGTGTATTTACTTAACATATTATATTAAAATTAATTACCTAATGAATATAGTATAATTTACTTTCTGTTATTGAAATATAGGTAGGTGACAATTAACTAAGTTAGTTAAGCTTTTATATTACAACTTTACATAAAAACTGTACCAACTCGCAATGTTGAATATGTATACACCAACTGGACAAGTACCTAATTCATGAATTTTAATGCATTTAATATACCATGTACACTATCAATATTATTGAAAGAGGACATATTATAGGCAGACTTAATTTAAAGTAAGAATTTCGCAATTTTTTTTTTATAAGTTCATATTGTCAATATATAAGTAACCTAGGTACTATAAATAGGTTCCTACTAATGTACTGTGGAATTATAGTTTTTAAGAACCCAATATTTGAAATGATTTTTATCTTATATGAGGTATATGATAAATGGTGTGGATAACTGTGTGGATTGTTTGTAATAGGATGTCAGCGAACCGTTTGATTTTTTTTTATGAACCACGTTCAATAAATAATTAGCCAAAACGCATTCACACAATAAAATAGTTTTTTTTTATGTTTTTAAGAAACTAGGTAATCTTAATTCTTAGGTGAAAATCGTCCATTACATAAAATATAAAGAATAATATTTTTGAGAGTATGACATATCGATTTGTCTATATAATGTTACAATGTCATAAAACCATTTAATATCTAATTAAATGTATATTTTTTTTTAAGTCGAATATAAAATCAAATATAATAATCAAATAGAATACTGATTATTATGTGAAACACTCAAACATAACATGTAAAAATAAATAATATAATGTAAATAACATAATATTATTATCCTCTTTACTTTTTAGATTCGGTACTCAAAAATTATAAAAAAAACCTTTTTTTCATTACCAGCTAATTCATTTTATCTATGTTCAGCAAGTGTCTGAGAGAGAAAACAGAGTATAATGAGCTTGCCTTCTCTTAAGAATGGAGAGTTATGTATGAACATTCCTCCGCACCACCACAAATTAAGTCCAATTTACGCCACTGTAACAGAGTAACCTATAGGTTAACTGTTTACAGATCGACGGCGGGAAAAGCTATAGGCTACATCGCCTGCATACCTATAAGTAAAATATTATATACTTACCGTAAACATATTATATTGTCTATTATATTATTTATTATTCTAAAACCAGTCCGATGGTCCGCGTCCCCATAAGGTATAATACGCATAATATATAGTAATACGTATCCAAGTTTCACTATCTCCAATACGTAATACGCGTCCTTTATCGTATTATATTAGGAATTTTTAAGAGTCGACGTTCAAACGTGGCGCCCTTGCGATACACCCGTTTTGTACATAATATTATTATGATGTGCGTCGGATCGTATCGACCTGCAGTGGTGCCGCCCTATATTGAGGTAGATACCTATATAGCGAGCAGCGCATCTGTAATCTGACCAAACATTTTAATAATATATTACGTAAGTGGGTGTGGAAATGTAAGAGAAATATAGATTTATATTTTATTTCACCAATAAAATGTCACCAGTGGTAGGGAGTAGAGCGTTAATTGTAGCAATGCTATAGTAAGTACCAATAGTTTGTTGAAGGATGCAACTTTATTTGAAGCGATTAACTAGAATATATACACTTTAATATATTTTAACACCTCATGCAGTGAAATACTATACCATGCTAGAAATTAACGGTTAGCGTAAGGAAAATCGTCATTTATTTTTTCACTACCTATACAACCTATTTGGTAGTAATTAAACTATTATGATAACTAAAATAATAATAATTTTTATTTTTTTCGGCCAAGTTGATAAACTTGTTTTAAATTATATTTATTTATATATTATTATAAAGATGAGTGAATTTTTCGGATTTCATCCATGAATTATTTACTTATTATTGTTAGTAAGAACATTTAAGAAAAAAATTGCGATAATAACTTATCGTAGATAATAGGGGATTTGCTGTAGCGTTAGCGAGCAAAAAAAAACCATCAGCGTCCCGACAGGTTAGGTTAGGATAGATAGGCAATATATTATATAAGTAAGTATTTGTAAAATATAGTTGTATTAATTGTCTAGAAAAAATCATAATATTCGTTACTGAATTTGCTACAGGTAGCTGTATGGTAATTAATACTATTCAAATTTCAAATACCTGTTGTAATAGATTTCTATACTATTGGGATAAATAGCATAGTAAAAATAACTACTCAAGTAGGTAGGAACCCGATACCAGGGTATGCATAATATATAAAAATATAATTTGTTGGTAGGTACCTAGGTACAGCAGACAACAGTAGATCATGGATGCAGAGGAAACGAAAATCGTATTTACATAATATAATAGGTATCATGCGATGAAGCGGCGATACCTACCTATATAGTGTGAATATAGATGTTATTATATTATTTCGCGTGCAACCTTTCGCCCCTTACAGAGGTAAGGTCCTGTATTAAAAATATAATAGGTATGCAATGAGTCGCAGCTGCAATATGTTATGGTTATTATATTTGTAAAAATATTAGCCATTAGGTATGATGTGCTCGTGTGTGTTTGAATTGTAAATAATAATGTAACAATAGGTATAGTGCGTACGCAGTAATCGTATTATTATTCCGCATTTCCGAGCGAAAAACGGCGCGTTCTCTGAAGAGAGCGACCATTGACCAATGGGAGCGAGCAGAGCGATTAACATTTACCTAATACATCTGCAAGACTGCAGGGTGACCTCCCTCGGCAACAAATTATTCGAAAACCAATTTTGGCCGGAAAATCAGTTTTCGAAATTCAATTGCGCAGTACTGTAGACGACGCGTAATACGCTCGCCGCCGCCGCCGCTAAACGGTCCGGTGAGTCGTGGAGGCCGCCAGAGGGCGCGCGCGCATGGAGGACGTGTCTGCGATGCGTGAACGGATGACGGCGGCGGCGTCGGCGGCGGCTGCACCATGAACTACGACCACGGACCGCTATTGTCTCGGTGGCGCGCGCTCGCACTACCTGTGGGCGGTGCGGTAGCACCGTGGGCGGCAGGGGTGAGGGGGAGCTGTGACCGTGGTGGTGGTTGTTGCGCTACGTTGGCAGCGGGGGGCTGGCGGTGGTGGCGACGCAATGGAAAGGACTTTTTATCATTATCAAATTTAGTTTACTTTTCGTTGTCGTTCGGCTGGTCGTCTCTGCGGCCGTCGCGTGCCATATTTTTATTTACGTCGCCGTCAGACCAGTTGTGGCGGGCCCGCGACTCTGACGCTGCGTGGCGCTTTTCCATGGATCTCGACCTGAGGTGAGTGCAGACGTAAACAACCATCATCCGCCGCGCGCACCCCGTCGTTGTCCAACACCGTAGCCGCCGCCGCCGCGCGCGTTCCGTTCGCCGTCGCGGCGCGCGTACGCATCTTTCGCGGGTTTCGGGCAGTCCGCCGTTTGCGCGCGTGGCCTTTGTCCCTTTCGGCCCTTGTCGTCAGTCAGTCGTTGGCAGTGCCGAACACGACGCAACAGCCACCGCCGCTGGTGGTCTTCCGCCGTATGCTGTCCCTTTCGCGACGGGGAGTCCTGTCCTTAAATTTTTGTCCGTTCTTTGTCTGCTCCTTGATACTCTATCCTTTCTCTTGAACACGAAGCATTTCTACACCCTTGTCCAGTCGTCAGTCATCCCCTGTGTTGAGTGGTTGTCGTTGGATCCTGCATACTCTACGGCGTCCTTGTTGTTCGGTCCTCTCTTCTCTATGACGCTCTAAGTCGTTACCGGTCCATCAGATTTTCAATTCGCTGTCGTGCCCGCGTTGGTGTACTGTAGATTTTTGTAATCATTAAATTTTACGGTAATTGAGACATGTTGCATTACACAACCATACTTTGAAAAGAATATATTACTCATCTAAGCTCTTTTCAATTTATTTTATGTTGTGCGCTTGAAATTATTAAAGACTATTTCTCTAATGTAGGTACACTACTTACTCGTGTTGTTGATTATACTTTTTTTAAAGTATTTTACATATTTTTTCATAGGTTATTTGTGCCAACATAACATTGAACACCACAATAATGATTTATATGAACCTGCAGTGAAATATCTAAACAAATCATGGAGCTCCAAAATTGCTTACCGTCTATGAAAAATGGTATGTCAAAAGATTTTTTATTCTATATTATGTATTATCTAATTATTATCATTATGAAATAAAAATATACAATTTTATAAATATTAAATGTATATTTTTGTTTTTTGAATGTTTTGAACAGTAAATTAAATTGTTACTATAAGATTGACAATATTGTGTTAGAACACTAAAGTTAAAAACCATAAATTCCTTAATATAAATATTTAAAATTATAATAATTAGATACCTTAATGTAATTGAACAAATTATATGTTAACATTTTTCATATCTTCTATTTATAAAAATATTTAATTTTATAACTGAAGTAAAATTATATTTTAGTATTTGAGTTATTAGATTGTTAACTATCTAATTACCTACTTGTTTAGTAACTTATTAGGAAACATAATTTTTTTATGGATAGGTATGTTTTTTTTTTTTGTTTGAATGATAAAATGGTATTAAATGTATTTTTAATGTTATACCTTAGACATAATTTTTTTTAATTTTAAAAATGTTTCAATACTTAGAATTAAAATGAATGTAAACACATCGGTAGCTTAATAAAGTAAAACCACGTAAAGTCATTTAGTTAGATAATCCCTTAGGTATCTTTCTTCTTAAACAATCTTCTACATTTTTTTTGTAACTTAATCTTATATAAAAAATATATTGATTTAAAAAGTTCTTTATAAATGATTCAAATCAGTCTAACCTAGTAATGTTTTCTAATTTTTTAAAAATGAATACAATTTTGAAATTTCATGTTGCATCTTGTCATTAATTTATGTATTTAATTAAATATTAAAATTACATTTCCATTTTTTTCTCTTAACTATGTGTCAAAATATCTAAAGCTATTATTTCTATAATTTAGAAATTTTGTTTTCTTCAAGATTAAAATATATTGCAGTTATCTGTCTTATAAAATGACAACATTTAGGAAAAATAATTTTTACTTATGTATCACTTTATATTGTGTACCTTTTATAGATTACAAAATTAATGAAATGAACGACCAACAAGAAATAATGAATAATGTACAAGGATGGAATACAATGCCATCACATGATATTATGATACCAGTGCCAATAAAAATCCAACCACCACTTGGAATTTTGGATCAAAATAATATCCAAATAAATAATTCTAGTCCGCATCCAAGCGTCATTCATACAAGTCCCCAGACACCACATGTAAATACCTAACTTCATTATCATACCAACATGTAAATACCTATTTAAACATATTATAATATTTTTAGGGCTTGCCAATAAATACATATATTGAACCTGAATTACCAATAGAGCTGTTGCAACAAGGATGGAAAAAGTTTTGGAGTAAACGTGAGAACCGACCTTATTTTTGGAATAAGCTGACTGGTGAATCTCTTTGGGAGTTCCCACCTTTGAGACAGGTATGTATGAATTTAGTCATAAGGTTAATATTGTATTATAGTATTGCATTGTAATGTATAATCAAATTTTTAGTTTGACGTAACATCAGACCCTCTGGGAATAACAAGTGATGGTCAACATAATGGAACAAATCCAATGTTATTGAAAAAAAGACCTGCAGAAGAAATAGTTTTGGGTCCTGCGACAAAAAAAATGATACTAACGTACGTTTTTGATATTCAGCTCTTAGTAGAATTGTATGCCAGTGTATTCAGTAGTATCAACAATAAATTAAAGAGTTTAATATCATACTCATAAGTTCCTATGTATAAATATTAGTGTACATTTTGTTAATTGGAAAATATTGTTATTCGCCGGTCATTAACATTATTGAATAAAAATATTAAGAGAACGTTATACCCCCCGAGAGTTATGAGTATTTTAAAATTGTAAATTGTTTGTACCCCTATTAATACTCATAACTATCTTTCAACTTAAAATAAAATAAAAAGCCAATGAAAAGCCCTCCGTAATAATCTTAACTTGAATTTTAACAAGAGCTCAATTCACTCTAATTTTTAAGCCAACTGAGCTAAATGTGATCTGCTGAACATAAAATTTGATATGTTACGCTCTTATAAAACGGAGACAGCACATGCGGGTATGACGTTATCTTAATAATTATTGTGATATTTTTAAAATCTAAAACAATGTATTATTATTATTTATTAATTTTTACATGACATACTGTAGTGACATTTACTGTTACATAACTTTTTAGCACCACAACAATTACAATATTTATCATTTTAACAACTAACAAACCTTGAAATTGATTTCAAAGCTGATACCCTTGAGGGACTTACTTTTCTCTGTTTCAATTGTTTACCATTTGCTAATGGAATCAGATAGCTCATGTACCATCAGATTTTCTATGCATGCAGCTACTTTTTTCAGTATTTATGTCCATAACTATTATGAATCGTACATATGCCGACAGTTGTACACATACTAAAGTATAATTTTTCATTTTGATTAAATCATCCACTAGTGTTTTGTAACCACCATGCATGTACCTTATCTGAGATGAATAAAGTTTTATTAGGCTTATCTAACAACAAATTATCCAGTACTTTCTTATTTTGGAAATTTGGTTTAGCCGTCACCTTATCATTGTTGGACATCTATCTTAGTTGGTTGTTTACTTGAACTTGACTCGTTTTCAGTTAGATGTACAGTTTAATCATTATTCATAAATAACCCTTATCTAATTATTATCAACATTTCTCATTTAATGTTATGATAATTCCTATGTTTATTCAGCAAATAATGTTAATGAATGACGAGTAACATCTTATATTTGTATTATGTAATTTACCGTAGCATAATATTGATTGCATAGAACAAAATCAATATTTTCTTTTTTAATTACAATAAATAAAATTATTATTCTATCTCAAAAAAGAATAATCAGTCTGCCAACCAATTTACGCCTGTGCTGCTCATCCCCCACCAAAATACGTGATTCTTGATGCACCAATCAAATCATTTGCAAGTTAATGTTCTCTTCGGACAGAGTAAAGTTAAATTTTTTTTTTGTAGTGGTCCATGGGAACTTGAAATACCTACAAATGTTGTTATATTTGAGCGATCTCCATCCACGATGTCTCAGCCACATCCAGATATCGAGTTTTATCGTGGAAATTTGGTAGCAAAATTAAGACAATGTTACCAAGAACTGTGTCAGTCCCGAGAAAGTAAGTATTCCAATATAATTTTGTGAGTTAGAATTACATTGTATTCATAAATATTATTTTTATTACTAGACATCAATGCACCAAAAGAATCCTTCAATCGTTGGCTTATTGAGAGAAAAGTAGTTGATACTGGAACTGATCCATTATTACCCTCTCAGTGCTATCCAGAAGTGTCTTTAAGAATGTATAACGAAATAATGAATGATATTCCATTGAGATTGGCAAAGCCTAAATATACTGCAGATGCTCGGAAACAGCTGTCCATATACGCCGAGGCAGCAAAAAATCTCATTGAGTCTAGGTATATTATTTAAATTAATAAAGTCACAAGATAATCTTCCGTGTTATTCTCTATCATCATAAGGAACATACTTTTTGAATACTTTTTATATTTTATGGCTTAAATTTTTTTTATGTTAGTTATTATTTAAAAAGCATGTTATTTTTGTCGAATTATGCGTTCATTTAAACTAACTTACATTTAAGGGTTAAAGTTGTCTACTAATTTATATATTGGTGGGTTATATAGAAACACACTGCAAGAGAGTAGAAAAGTTGTAAAATGGAACACTGAAGATACTTTGCAATGGTTAAGGAAGACAGTGGGTGCTACATATGTTGATTTCCAAGAACGGTTAAACCATCTTAAGGTAACATTCACAGAAAAATTAAAAAAAATTTTTTTATAATATTGTTTGTTATATTTTACAGATGCAATGTCAACCACATATAGCTCAAACCGTCAAAGAATCTGTGGAAGGCATCTGCTCAAAGGTATACCATTTATCTGTTGAATATGCTCGCAAGGTTAAAGAGAAAAATAGTGAGCTTTTGATTGCACAAGGAATTACAGGTTAGTTAGTTATTATTTTTTAACTATTTTTCTCGACAAACATTTCTATTGTGATATTTGATTTTGGTTTTATGTAAACATTCTAGGTATTATAAACATTCAACTATACATAAAGTTGATTTAAGTTATTGTTATTGCTTTTAATATTTATTTTGTTTAAAGTTTATAGTTGGAAAATCACAATATTGTGTAACAAATTATTATTATGTGAGTTTAGAAATGCCACCAGCTCCTGCAGTATTAACTTTACATAAAGTTTGGTGTTATCCTGTTCAATTTGTTACACCTGCTCCGCGTCTTCCTCCAGTTGAATACATGGCCGATAAGGAACAGACTTATGTCCGATTCAATGGAGAGAGGTTACTCATCAATACTGTATACCTCCAAAAGTTGGTTAGTGATTTTGTGACTGTGATTATCCACAATGTAACTACTATAGTAGTTATATATTAATCTTAAAACAAATGTTTGATGATTTACAGGAACAATTATATCGCTACAGCTGTTATGAAGATAAAAAAATGGAAAACTTCATGGCTAGAGTTTGGTGTTTGTTGAAAAGGTACCATGTCTTGTGCTCTAACAGTCCTGATACACAAGTATCAGTTCCAGTGCCTATCCTAGAATCTCTACACAGAAATTTTGGTGTGACATTTGAGTGTTTTGCGTCACCTCTGAATTGCTATTTCCGACAGTACTGCTCAGCGTTTCCAGACACCGACGCCTATTTTGGATCTCGAGGGTTTGTTTGCTTCTCATAGTAGTAGTTTTTTTCAAAAATAGGTAAAGCTGGTATAACGGAACTATATATAATATTATATTATGTCTGTACACACCAAAATTTGTATATTCTATTTACAGAAAGTATTTTTAATAAATACTATGTAGTAACAAACTTTCAGAATTTTATTTTATATATCATATTATTATTTTTATTATGATTTGTGGATATTAAGCAAAAGAATATGCTGTTTTATCGCATGATAAAAAAAGTTTTTTAATAATAATTATTAATTATTAATTTTGTTTTTATGTTCAGTTCAATTTTGGATTTGAATGCCGTAAGCGGGTCATTTGTGGTAAATCCTCCTATACACTGTGATGATCTAATTGAAGCAACTCTAAATCATATTGATCGATTGTTATCTGAATCAAGCGAACCTCTATCTTTCATCATATTTTTGGTTGATGGTGATACAACATTTGTCCAGAAACTAGACGCTAGTCAATTCAAACGACGTCAAGTAGTTATACCTGCATATGAGCATTATTACAGACATGGTTTCCAGTACAGTGTACCAAAGTATGTATTCAAATTATACAAGACGCATTAAAAACTTATTTAATTGAAAACTGTTATTGGATTTTTAGGACAGATGTGAACATTCGTTCTCCCACAAGCACATTAGTTGTGTGGCTTCAAAACAATGCTGGGTGCCAGCGATGGAGCCCCAGCGAAGACAGGGTTGAAGCTTTGTTGGAAGCGTTCCGTCCGGGACGAGAACGTGATCGTGACCGCCAGGAACTCCTTTCACCAACACCTAATCCTCTGTTAGGCCCACCTCCACTTCCTGTTTAGAGTTAGTAGATATTGTATACATAAGATATAACTATGTTTATATATTTAGCTTATGTGTACGTGTTTGTACATACACAAACACAATAGGCAATTATGGTGTCTAGTTTTACTCAAACTTATATTTTTATGTTCATTATTCACCGGTGTATAATGTACTCTCATTAAATTTTAGTTTTTTTTATACATTTGCTTAATGTATATGGTAATAATATAATTATTGAATTTTACTTAATGCAAACTCTGAGCCATAATTGCTGTTTGAATTTCCTTTACCTAATGATAAGTATAAAAATTTAAAAATGTTAAAAATAACATTTTTGACTTTGAAAATATTTGTATATAGGTAGATTTTTTAGTTATCGTTTTGTTGATTTATCTATTTGCTAGTATAAGATAATTTATTATTCTGTCGTTATCCGTCAGAATATAAATTTGAAACAAAATGTATCAGAATTTCGTCCAAATATTCATAATGATTGCAATGGATTATTTGCTGTTTTTAATATTTTTTTATAAAAAACAACATTTTCCTAAAGCACATTTAAGAATATCGAATTAATGTTATTTAGAATTTGTAAGGGCTTAGTACTTAAGTGTTAAGTGAAAAAAATAGAAACCTTATAATTTTCTCTACATAGTTCCAATTAATTAACTATTATAAGTATATTGTAATTGCATAGTATTCTTTACCAAGCTGTTGTCTCTTGTGAATCTAACCAACTAATTAGACAACAATAATTCATTGTTACTCCAAATTTATAATTAACTAAGTATAAAAGTATTTTTTTCTCTGTGTAATCGCTTAGTTGCGCACAAACGTACTTTAATGATATTATATTTATTGATCGTCATTAGCGGACTTACATCAGTACTTAAGTGTTTTATTATTAATTTCAATGTTTAACGTAACTCTTATATTATCATTATTGCATTAAGGAGTCTTAATTTTATACATAAATGTTACAGAGCATGAACATCATAGTTCTCTATCTTTTAAACCTTTTTTTTTATTTTTATCCCCTATAGCTATTATGTTAGCTGCTTATTATTGTCAAATATATTACAGTTATTATTTTTCTTTGAATTTTACCAATTTAACACTTCCATTAATAACCAATAATCTTAAGTAGCTTACCAAAGTTTTGATTGTTCTTTAATTCATATATACTGCTGTTTCACATTGATTGTGTTTTGTCTTTGTGGGTAGTAGTACAGTAGATGTATTTAATATTATATTATATGTATAATGATAATAATTGTATGTTACTGTTAAAAAAAAAAAATTAGTGAGTAAGATACATTTAGTTTATTTTAAAAAGTGTAATATTATTGTACTTTGTTATGTCTTTAAGCTATTTGTTAGATAATTAAACTTTTTTTTTTTTAATTATTCCTTTTTTGCAATTGAAAAATATTATATAGTATTATTGTTTGAAAATATTTTATGTTGTTTCAAGTTTTCAGTATCAAGTTTGATCGTTGTAAACTAGTTAAAATTCTTAAATATGTTTTTTTATTTTCGTGTTGCAACGGTGCAGCAGTGGGTTCTAACGATTTTAAGAGTTCTGTGGTTATATACTGAAGTAAATAAGATAAACCAGTTTCATTACTTGATGACAAATTTGTCTCTAATCCTTGACTTATAATTTAAAATTTGTCAGAACCCACGCCTCACCCTGTACTTATTTCATTAATAAAATAGTTTGACAATGTATCTATGGTTTGATCATGATTTAAGATAAAATGGTTGAACAACAAGTAGAGATAATTGATTTTAATGCATTGTAAAAAAATTAATTTCTAAGAATTATCAAATACTGTAAACATAGTATGTTAAATTACTCAGGTTATATTATGATTTAATATTACTGTCAATCCGGGCTGAGTAGTCTTATTGTGTACTTTTTTTTGTTTTATCATTATTGTATAACAAACTATTGTTTGTACCTAGTGCGATTTTTATTTGATTTAATGGTATCGAATTTAAACATGCAGTGGTTTGAGCGCGTATTACATTATTTTGTTTTTGTGATTTTTACATAAATATTATATATTATATAAAACTATTATTTTTAAGTTATTGTACCGTAAATATGAATACTATTCACTTGTTTTCTCATCAGTACATTATGTTTATTATGGTTTTATTTTTATAATTTATTGAATTATATAAATTAAATATTTCCCCTCCCCCTAAAATAAATTGATTACAATATATACGCTTATTCACTTTGAAATGCATTTTTAATTGTGTTCAAAATTGTAATTGTTGAACTTTAATTATTTTCATTGTCAATGTGAATCTATGTGAATGTTCTGTGATGCTGGCCATACATTTCATGAAATGCACAGCTAAATATTAATTTTAAAAAATATTATCATATAATTTATGATCATCAGCTTTAGATCGGCTTGATGTGGCTAGCTTGTTCAAAATAAAATATCTGTTTTACAATTTTGTTAGCTAAAAAGCACCTTCAATTTCCTGCTACGAAATTAAACTTAACATACGTAGTCGTAATCAAATATTATGTTATTTTCATATTCTAGAGGCTATTAATTCTTTTAAGACAATTTTCTATTTGCGGGTGGTGTAAATCTATGTGTGTGTGTGTGTGGGTCTGTGTGTAAAAGAAAGAGCAGAATGCTCCAGAAATAATGTCAATAACTCAGTACATAAATATTAATTGGTTTGTGTTTTATTTTTTTGTTTTATATTAACTTGAATTTTATTTTTATTTTAACTTTTTTAAAATTTATTTTCACTTCAATATTATAATCATTTTAAAATTTATTATTAATATTTAAAATTAAAAGCTCATTTTGAGAGGTGTATAATAGTTCAATTTCAAAAGAGAGAAAATGTCGTTTTCAAATAAGCTGCATGTAAAATTCAAATATGTTTTCATGTGTTGTAACTGAGGGAAGACGCTCCTCTATAGCATTATAATTTAATTAGGCTTAGAGTGCACCTATCTATTCTTATTATCGAGTAAGTTGCCATAATCATTGCCCCCACAAGGAGAGGATGTTGGACCTGGATTATAAGGGGTCCATTGATACATGATGTAAATGTATATTATAATAAAAATAATAATGTATATTAACTAATTTTATTATTTCAAGCTGTGGATTAATAATTGATAACATAGGGATTGTGTATGGGACACCCGTATTGCTTGTAATGGGTTGTATTTTGTCGGAAGTTTTGTTAAAACTTCTAACACAGGGCCTCATAACTTTTAAGTCAGGGGCCTGGCTGTAATTGTTCTAATAAATTTGAATGCAATGAAAAATATGCCTAAGTGCCTACCAAATACTATTCAGAGAGCCCTTATTTTTAAATACCAACCCTAGTGTAATTGTATTGTTATTAACACTTTTAAATCTATACAGTTTGACGGTGTAAATATATTTATGGTATTAACTTTAAATACCTCCAACTTTATACCTAGTTGGCTAGTTTAAAAAAAATTCAAATATTATTGAATTAGAAATCATACATTTATAATACCTAATTACATTAGTTAGCGTACTGGCAATAACTGTAAAAGGTTTTCAAAATACCTATCAACTAGATAATAAGTTTTCTAATTAGGTACCTACCAGAAAATACAAAATAATAGCTTATATATCATTATGTATATGTATACAGTTAAATTCAGACAATATTATGCATTATTTTTTCTAAAAAATAAATAAATATAATATATTTGTAAATCAATTACAAATTATAACTAGTACTTAGGTATATATATTTTTAATTATTACGAAATATTATATATGTTACCGGCAATATGGAGAATCAGGTATTAATACCTAGGAATTATATAAAATGCCAAAAATCACTTGGAAATATACATAATACAAGCTTTGCCTAGGTATTATGTATAATGCCCAAGGTGGAGTAGAAAATATGATAAAAATAAACAAAATTGGGTATCGACTATTACCGGCGACTTTACTTATAAGTTATAGTTTATCGTGAATGCACGCACCGTGTCCGCGTGTGCACGACTTGGTGCAATGAAGATTAAAATTCTGAATTCCTGAAGCAGTAATACGTCAGAAGCCAGTTCACTATAATATGTCAGAAAAGCTACTACAAATTTACAATGTTCCAACAGGCACAAAAGTGGCGTTAAGAACAGTCGACAGGAACTAGCCAATGATTTTTAAAATGTGTTTGTAAGATCAAGTTTCAAAATAAAAAATGCATTTACCTTAAAAATGTTTTTTGCACTTCAAAATGCCATTTTTCTACAACATGTAGTAATAAGTAGATAGTAGTAAGTAAAATGTATAAATAATAGTACTTAATATAACAATAATATTAATAATATAGCAATACCTATGTATAAAAATATAATAGTATATAAAAGTTAGATTTTGTAATATGAGTAGGTAATAATATATTATAATTATAAGAATATTAATATAATATTATAACATATTATGATAAATTGTTTTTTTACTTTGCCTAAAAAAAATTGGTATTTTACATAACGCCTAGGTATTTCATAAAATAATATTGAAAATCATGTTTTATTTGCATTACCTAAAATGGGTCGTCAGTATACATAGTGCCTAGGCATTTTTCGAAAAAACCTGAATTATTCATATTGCCGATGACATATATAAATATTAAATATATTTACTATAAACAATAAACAATTAAAAAAAAAATCGATTAGTTTTATGCTCCTTATACCAGTTATACCTATCACTTACCTCCTATTAATTTTTTTCTACCCAGTACGTTAGCATAAGAATTGACTTATCCGTCAATACTAACTAATAATATAATTAATGAACCAATAAAATACTGAACTTGGTATACATCAAACCAAGATGACTTCAACATTACAAATAGCTATAGAAACCTTCGTGTTCCCCTACGAAATGGTGTAGGAAGTCCTGACGCTCAATATGAAGAAGATTAAAGGTCAGGTGGCAATCAGTCAGGTGGCAAAGAAAAAACGAGAGCGACAGTACTATATAATATTGCAGTTGTTCTATACAAAGAGACATGATTCGAGCGGCTCATGAAAAATTCAATTATTTTTAAAAGTGACGGTAGACTCAAAAAAAAAACACTTCATTGTGAAACTATTAATGTATACTTTTTATAAATTCATATAAATATATAATGTATATGGTAATAATATAATTATTGAATATTACTTAATGAGAACTCTGAGGCATAACTGCTGTTTGAATTTCGTTTACCTAATTATAAGTATAAACATTTTAAAATGTTAAAAAATTGTTGGCTGAAAAAAATATTTTCACCTATTTCGGTTAATTTTTTAGTTACCTATCGTTTTATTAATTTATCTATAGTATAGGATAATTTATTATTCTGTCGTTATAATCGTATAAAAATTTAAATAAAAATGTATTAGAATCTGGTCCAAATATTCATAATGATTGGAATGAATTATTTGCTGTTATTAATATTTTTTATAAAAGACAACATTTCTAATGCACATTTAAGAATATCGAATTAATGTTATTTGTATTGGCTTAGCAGTTAAGTGTAAACTGTAAAGTGGAAAAATTTAAACCCTTATCATTTTCTGTGTATTATCCCATTTGCCAAATTGATTATTATATAAGTATATTGTAATGTTAAAGACTTGTAAATCGAATCAACTAATTTGACAACAATAATTCATTGATACTCGAAAATAGTCGAAAACCTGATGAAAATTTCACTTATTCATAGACAAGTAATGGTAGGAAGACACTAAAAAAACTACATCACTGTGAAACCAATATAGACTTATTGCTTCTTCTGCAGAATCTAAATTTTTTACACCTACCTATTATATGTATGAACCTATAATATAATATAAGGAACATCAATGTCGACATTTTTTAATACGCATATTATATTATAATACTATCATAATTTCGTACATGTACTTATAACAACAATAATACTATAATGATAATAATGATACAAAAATAATTATAGTATAGTAGTAATAATAATAATATTTCACGGTCGGAAGATGAAGGTCTCACCACACCTGGCACTTGTTGACCGGGTTCATGTTGGAACCCAGCGGACATCGGAAGTCTTTACTGAAGTCTTCCAGGTTGGAGAACGGACCGATGACCCGGAAACGGTCGGGCGAGTGAGAATTAGTGGCGATGTCGGTCTTGAGTGCTTCCGGGCGGTATTTGGAACACCACACGTTGGCGGCACTCACCCAGAACATCTGCTGAGGTGTGTAGTCCTGGAGCCCGGGCAGCCGCGGTTCGTCGCCGTGTCGTCGGGCCCACACTTTGTACGCGTTGTACGCTTGTTTCAAGCCACCATTGTCCGCGATGTTCTCACCCTGAGTATTGATGCCGTTCAACTGCGAAATTTAAATCATTGGGTTAGTATGTGGGACGCTGGTAAGGGGATAGTTGCGAATTTAAGGGGGAGTGGTATCGGGTATGCTTGGAAGCTGAATCACCCACCGTTCCGAGTATTGACTTTTTTTTATTCTAAAATAGATAATAATCAAATATTTTAGATGAGTTTTTATGACTCATAATATTAAAATTTAAAAACATAAAATTAAAAATCGATTGATCCGATAATTTATTAGAATCGTTAGGATCTTCGAAATTCATGATTAACACATTTAAACACTAATGGTATATAAACGATGCAATATGATATTAGTATTACTATATAGGTGCAATATTGTTATTTTCGATAAAATGTAATTTGTAATTGATTACAAGCACGTTTATTATCATTATCATAGTTTTAATGTTTTAAAATATATAATTTTCTTCCTCTCAAAAAATGATATTGATGACGACAGCTGGTGCAGCATATTTTTTTACGAGTAGAATTATTTAAATGTTCTATGCGAACGAGTAACACCGTAGTCCGTAGATGGCGTAGATATTACATAAATAAATATTTTCGATAAGGTATTAGGTAACACTAGTAATTAAAATTCATAAATATTTAATAACCAATCGATTGTTTGGCGAGAACAATCATTAGAATTTCAGGACTATAATGATTCGAAATTCGAAAAATATTAAATTTTAGACGAGTGATAAGTTTGACATTGAAATTAATCTGCTGAAAACGTTATCTTAAGAGTTGAGAAGCAAAATTGTCCACAACACACCTTGAGACCGACCTCATCAGCAGTGTAATTTCCATACTGTTTGATGATGCACAACACCTTCTCCAAGAAGCGTTTCTTTGTCTCATTTGCCCACCAGTCGACCAGGTTACCATGCTTGTCGTACTTTCTGCCTTGGTCATCAAAACCGTGGGTGATCTCGTGACCGATCACAAATCCAATGGCACCGTAATTCATGTACCGAGGACGATCGCTGGAGAAAAAGACACCTTGTAAGATACCGGCGGGTAACTCTGAAAATTTAGAATCGTTATATTTATTAACCTATATAAAGTGACTTTTAACTATGACTCGACTCATACCAGGGGTGTATTATAATTACGTTTTTTTATGAGCTACGACTGAAACTTTTATGTCTTATAGGTATGGAGGTACCTACTATATATATTTATTATTACCTGTGTTCTGTTTTTTATTGCAGTTATTTTTTAGTGGGTACATACTACATATTATTGTTCATTCTTTATGAATAATAATGAGTATTCGTGTTTAAAACACGTGCGTAAGAAAAAAAGTGAAACTCAAATTATGTGATATACCTGTCCTCACATACACATTATATGTCAGTGAATTATTATTATTTGTAAGCAGGAAGGAACTTGTTCCAATGATTTATTTAGATTTTCATAGTTCCTTTATTGTGTGAAATAAGATACTGGATAATTTTAGAGAAACATGAACGTTTTTATTTGTTCCTTTTTTGTTTGTATATTATTAAGAATAGGAAATTTAAATGATTTTTATGACAAAAGTTTCTATAATTTCTATTTCTTTTTTAGAAATAAAGTCAATAATATAATGAGCTAAATTATACGAAAATGTACTCTAATATTCATAATGTTTACAAATATGTGAATTCAGTTACGGAGGTCTTGTCATCATGTATGAAATAAACAAATTAAATATTTTAAAAACAAAACAACTACCTAATTAAACAATTATAGTTGCAAATTATATTAATACAATTTAAAAATTATTGAGGAACGGAAAATGTTCTTTATTTAGGAACGATTAAAGAAACTAGTTCCTTCCTTTAAGACTCGTACGAGAAGCGATTTAGTACTTTTTTAACAAAATAAACTTGAACATGAACTAATTCATTTTTTAAAGAAACTTTCCAAGCACTGATTATTTGCTTATGTAAGGTTATTTTTATTGCATAAATATATTAATACATTAATATATTTCTACATTATTTTTCTTTTTTATTATACTTTGAGGGCTCTAACGGAGAAAAAGTTTGGGGAACGATGTTTTTAACAATTGATTTTTTTTTATTTCGGATACGGAAAGTCTAGTGTTCGGCTGGAGGATAAAGTGAATTAAAACTTCTTAGCGTTCTCTTTCACAATTCAAAAATACAGTTTCATTTGCTCTGTTCCCAAAATATAGTCACCCGAAAAATTAAAAAATTAAATCGCCAATAATCTGTATGTCCGATTTATGTTTAAATTTTGTGTTTCACTTATTATAGACAACATGGTTAAACACTGAATAAGTTCTAAATTAGGTAGGTACCTATATGTATCAATGTATCATATAAAGTACATTATATATTGTTACCATATTACTTACGGATACTGTTTTCATCATAACTGTAAAACGCATTAATAATTGCTGTTTTGCTGTGATTAATCCAATCCGATTTATTTACAGGTTGCCTTAGTAACGAAAAACTGTAGTGAGTGATGAATTTAGTAAAATTCATTATCGATGCAAAGTAGTCTTTGTCGTTGACTTCGAGCTACGAAAAAGATACAACATATAATTACTGACCAAATTCTCATTAAGTCATGAAAAAAACAATTTTTAAAGGATTCTAATTACATAATGTAGGTAGTATAATTTATATTATCCCCAATGGCCAGTGCGCTTTACTATTATTCCTTATATAGGGTGTATCAACATAAAGACCTGGCGAATGAAATAACTTTTTTTCTAATAAGTAATTTTTTGACACATTTTATTTATAATTTATTGACTTTTGTGTTACATGTGTGATATAACATTTTTTATTTTTATTTTTTATGATTAAAAAATAAAAAAAAACGAAAATATGATTTGTTATATAAAAATTCAAAAAGGCTAATTTTTGAATCTGGTTTTTAGAAAAGGTATGATTGTAAAAATATTTTTTTCTAAATCATGTAATTTGATTTGTTTAAATATTAGAATAGTTTGAATTAACACTCACTGATTTGAAAAGTAATAACCTTAAAAAAAAAAATGTTTATATTTTAACAAATACCTATTACTCAATAACCTAATACCTATTAAAAATGCCAATAAAATATTTGAAAAAAAAATTATACTTTCTGAATTTAAAAATGTTTTTAGGCCTGAATCAACTTTACTTAACAAAAATAATGAGATGCAATAAAATCGGAAAAAAATAAACTACATGATTTAAATAATTGTTTTTACGATCAAAATATTTTTCTAAAATCCAGATTTATAATGTTTTATTTTCAGAATGATAAAAAAACAATAAATATTTATTAGGACAAAAGTTATTTCATTTGTCAGGTCTTTCAACTACATAATATACTAAAAAACAATCTATCACATTTTCATAAAACGCATTCAACTTGCAGTCGTCTAATAATTCGTCGGGGTATCCAATGTGACTGGTCATCGCATTCGCTTTGTCTATCGCGTGTTTCCTGTAATGAAAAGATCAAAAATAATTATGGCTTCACAATCGTTTTTACAGTCAAAAGGGATTATGCGTTATAATTAGAGTATGCATTTTTATGTGCTGAGAAGTATCAAATCTGCAGTTAAAATCGTGAGTATATGGAATATTTTTGCAAGAAAAAACCATTTTCAATAATGATAATAATTATTATTAGTTTAGAATTTGATGATTTATTTAAATAATTTAAAACAAATTAAATAACTTATAATTGGTCATTTATCTTTATTTCAATTATTAATTAGTACCTAAAAAATGTTCAAAATACTATTTTATACCTCTTTTTTAAAAGTGTACATCAATATGCTATAAATAATGAATTTGTCAAAGTATGAAAAATATGAAATAATATGTAAAAAAAAAAATTGTCATGAGCTTCAAATTATTATGAATCGTACAGGTGACTGAAGAAAATCCAAAAATGTGAAAAGAATTAAATGTTTAATTGTATAAAATCTGCATTCTAATTATTATAATATTAATATTTTTTGAACAAAAAGTTGAACTTATCACCTTGTTTCGTCGTCCATCCAATCGTTTGATGATAATATTTTGAACATTTCCTTCCTGATACCGTCCACCATTTCTAAGGCTTCCTTTTTGGCCCTTTCGTCGAAAAATTGTTTAACGTACAACGATCCAATAGCCAATGAAAATCTATCAGAACTGATACCCACGCATTCTTTCCATCTCGGCTCTCGTTCAGTCTTGCCGCTTTGCTCAGTGAGAAACTCCAACTCTCTTTTTCTCAATTGATCAGTTAAAAAATTTACGCACTGCGTGACCAATCTCCAAATCATGTAATTTGCTAGGACTCTGCCAACAAATTTATCAAATAAGGTATGGCGTTCTATCAGCGTTTTCAGGAGTTTATATTGAGGGAAATTATAATACCGTTTTGTGAAAAATTCCAACTTATTGTTCAAAACGTAATTAGGTACGAAATTGTATGGAAAATTAATTGAAAAAACGTTGAATATTACTATCTTTAATACGTATGAAATCGAATGAGAATAATAATACTCTGGAGTGATTAGTCAATGGTTCGTTTGAAACTTACGGTTAAAATTTGTTTTTGAATATAACAGTATTTAGTATTTGTTTTACAATTAAATACGACGTTACATAGACATTGATTGTTCTATGCGTATCATAGCAAGTTATTAGTTTAACAATTAGAGTGTAATAACTCTTATAAAATTTAAAGGTACGGTTATTATCTAGAGCACCTCATAGGCTTTGTATTATATTTTAACTGCGTAAAGGGAGTTATGAGTATTTTAAGATGTACAGATAATTTACTGTTTGTAAATACCCATAACTGATAACTCTCTTTTAAATTAAAATTAAATAACAATTCTTTAAGATACTCTAGATAATAATCGTACCTTTAAATTTCATAAGAAATCAATTCACTCTAATTTTTAAGCTAACGGAGCTAAATGTGATCTTCTGAGTGTACCTACAATTCGCAAGGTTATGTACTTATAAGACCAAGCAAACAAATGTCCGTTTAACGTCCTCTCAAGTCACAAATATTGATTTATGTTTAATACTTTTTCTAAATAGTTGTAACTTTTAGTGTAGTTCTATCTATTCTCTTGTGTAATTGATCAGTCAGTCAGTCAGGACACGTTCGATTATATAATATTAATAAAAAATATTATGTTACGGGCAATGTGTACCTTACTCCATCAATTTGGCCTTTCTCAGATTAATTAATCAATTAATTAAATAACATCGTAATAAAAAATGTAAACACACATTTGGGTGTTAATAATCGTTATTATTAGGGTTCATATTGGCTAATACTAGTGATGTATTGTGTTGTCACAATAACAGTGATGTTTACTGTTCGTTAGTTTAGAAAAAAGCATAATATTTTATAATTATTTTTATTGGATATATTAAGAAAAAGAAAAAAAATGTATTTTATTTTATTATTTATTACGTAATTATATTCTTTATTCATTTTATTTATATTATTTTTTTTTGTTCTTTATTTTTTATTCTGAATGTTTTAAAACAATTTTAATAACGATAATAAGTTTAAGTTCACACTTAATATTGACGGATGATCGATACACTTATAAGCAGCTTTGCGAAATAAATAAAATGATATGTAGGTAAGTGTAGGAAAGTAGACAGACTTTACAATTATTATAATTGTCATTCCATAATAAATTAGTAAATCATGTAAAAATAACAAGGTAATAATACAATATTCTAAATAATAATTAATATAATAATACAAGAACTAGAATTGCATATTTCACATAAAATACTTAAGAAATAGCAGAATATGCATACAATTTGTATCATGAATTAGAAAACTGAAATTAAAAATTGAAAAAGTAAATGTTTGCATATTTTGAGCTTTTTTACATTTCATTGCTATTTTGGACTTTTTGAAATATTTTAACCTATTTTTTTTTATCACAATTGATCATATTTATGAAAATATCATTTTAATAAACTTTTTATTTCGTTGTATTTTTAAACTTTTATTAGATAGGTCCTATTATATAATAGGTACCTATCTTTTATTTGAACGGGGTTTTTTGTCATTTAATGCTGCGATTATTGTCAAACAAAAATTCAAAATAACATATAAATTATACGCGGTTTATCATCTTATTTAGCTTAATCAAGATTCTTCAACCTATCACTTTTGACTGCGAATAGGTATGGATTTACCTTTTAGGCGTACTGCAGAGGAGGACTTCCAGTTCTGACAAGAATTTCGGAGCGTTTACAATTATAATGTCGTCCCTCTGTATGGTTAGCGGGAACAACAGTTTGTTCAGATACTCTTCCCACGGTATGGTCGGGAAGTTTCGTTGTAGATCGGCGAGTTTCATTGGGTTGTACAAATTGGATGTGTCCCGGCGCTCTTCCGCTGACATCGATATCTTGGCCAATCGTATTTCGAAGTCCAAAGATTGTTTCAGCTCCTTGACAGCTCTGTACTGGTCAGCTCCGAGCAGCACCGCGATGTCCACCATGTACCTGTAGTACCTCGCCACGATCTTTTCGTCGGTGCCCTTAAGTGCCAAGGACGCTTCGTCTAGCTGAAAGGTCGGGAGAAAACAATGCCAGCCAGACGGAATATTATAGGTTTACACATAATAACGACCAAGCTAGACTAGTTAATAATAATAATTTTTAAAAAGTTAACATAGTTACCCAGGTTAAAAATCTACACACACTTTGTTTAAATTATTTATTGAGTTAAAAAAATATATTTCGTTTATTACACAGTCTACTCTTAATTTGTTACCAACACAAAATTATGTTGTGTATATATAGTGTTACCATATCCCAGATACATCATTGAAGTTTTGTATCACTAAAAAGTAAAAAGACAAAAATTCATAATAAACCATACCCGGCATACTTTTTGACGAAATCGATTGAAATGTAAAACAATACAATAAAATTGAAATAAAATTAATCAAACAAAACTTCTTCTGATGAAAATTTAATTTTTTTTTAATTTCACGTTAGTTAAAAAACAATTAGTTTAATTGATGAATTAGCGAAACCCCAAAAGGAACTAGTTAAGTTAAACAGTATGGAAATTGGAAATACAGTTTACATTATAACTTAACTTTTAACTTTTGATTCTTTAGTGCAAAGCCTTGCATGACGATGATAATTGTTATCGTTGTATGTTGAATTGTTATTATAATATTGTGTTGTGTATAATATATTAGCTCACTTCAATTGCTCTCATAGCGGAGTTTTTCGAATCTATGCCGATGGAAAATCGAATTAAGTAGTCAACGCTGTAACCAGCTTCTCGAATCTTGTACACTATGTCCTTCCACGTTAACTCATCATAACTCCATTTCTCACCTTCCACCACCGGCCATCCACCAAGGCTTTTTAACATTTTCTTAAACGGTCTCAACCCATCCATTTCAATTTTTTCTGTAAAATTCATAGCGATTAAAAATGAAAAACTGTGGTAACCGCATCAATCGAGATCGGCTGGACCGTGTTTATAGTTTAATTTTTCAATCTTCATACCTAGGTAGTTAAAAGGTAACTTGTGAGTTCAGCTGAGGCAAAAATAATTTTTTACTTATTTTTAGGGATCCCATTGGTTACATATAAAATTACTATTATAATTAGTAGAAATGTGGTACCTATGTACAATTTATTACAGATATAAAAAAAAACCTTTGGCACTTTCAAAGCCGGCGAAACAGTTTGTATGATAATATAATATATTATATTCGTGCGTAAGGTGAATAAATTATATTATTAAATATTATAATTTTTCGACCATTTTAACTACCCAGTAAGTATCTATGGCCACTTTGGGATTCCACATTGGCCATTAGGCGAAGTAGGCATCCGCCTATAGTTCATAAGTCATAATATAGTATAATATAATGTTTCATATGTTTTTCTATCAGGAACCTAGTTGAATTTTTACTAACTATAAAATCGATATTTTTTGAATTCATTATTATTTTTTTTTTTTATTTCATTTTTATTATGTTTTTTTTTAAAATTTTATTTACATATTATGCTGTATAGTATTATTTGACACAGTATTTGCTTATTTGTTATTTGTAGTTTATTAAGAATTTTTTTTTAATATTAGAAAAAGTTAAAAAATTGAGGTAATTCATTTTTTCTGTAAATTTATAAGATTTTAATGAAACAAATTAATAAAGAAATTTGGTTTTTTTTATGACAATCATTTGATTATTGTTAAAACTACTCTTTTATTGTTCAGTAGTAAAATTAAAGACGTAGGTAGCTATTATTTTTCCAAGGGGCCACTAAATTTCAACTACCTTAGGGCTCACAAATGGATAATCTGGCACTAATTTTTTTTTCTATGTTTTTGAACTAGAATGAAAGCTCGACATTTATTGCAGTATACATTGAACAAGTTACACAGTTAACATAACAAGGCATTGATTTTTATTGTACCTTTGTCCATGCATGATTTATACAATAATTTTGCCATTTTGATGGGTTTCTGTTCATCTGGTTTAATGGGTTCGGTAACGATTATTCGTAGCTTGTTAAACAGCGTATCACCAGCAATGCTGAATGTCGTTTGAAACGGTTTGTCGTCTTCGATAATCGTGTATTTTATAAATTTTCCACATGCAAACTGATAAAAATCATGACAGGGGTCTACTGTCACGTCCATATTGTTGATCACTGAAACAGCTATAATATTATAACATTTAAGGACGGGTTTTCAATCGATTTTATTCGTCGGATATATTAATTTTCCGGATAACAAAAATATGACATTTTTCGGTTTTTCAATGTCGGAATAATATTCTTCTTCGACGAATAAGCCGCAAATAACAGGTAATTTGGTACTTTTTCTACCGGATAAGATATTATGTGACGAATAACTATCAACGATATGATTACGAATATTTACAAGCTTATAATTAATTAATGAATAATGATGAATGATAACAGTTTTCAAAATATTTTTGATTTCTTATATTATAAATTAACTTAGTTAGTCGTTATATTGTTTTTTCCTGTTTTCACAAAAATGAACTTTTGTGATCTAATTACGATTGTGAATTTGTTGGACATTTTTTAAAACGGTAATATTAAATAATAATATTACACAATTGGTGTAAGTTTATGAGAGTAAATTAAGTTGTGGGACGATAAATACTTGAGGGTTAGATTTAGAATTTAAGATAAGTGGCTGTTCAAGTTTTTTGGTACACACATGAGGAAAAATATCTGACGGGTGACTGGTGAGTACCCACAACATTAACACAGTGCTCTGCACTTAAATCAGGAAAATGTAAAATAGATCCAATTACGTTTTTTGTATAAACTAGGTTCGATAATTTTCACTGATAAAATATGATAAGCCTGAAATAATATTTTAATCTGAAAATAATAAATAACTTAAAATATACAGTACCTATAATATAATATATTTACCTACCTATATAATTTAATTCTGCTTTAATGAATTCTCATACTTTTTTATGGTATTAAAATAAAACAAAAACAAAATAACTTTTGGAGGATAGTGAGAATCGTCTCCTATTGTGTTGTCTTCTAGGCAATGCTAATTTGATCTCAAAAATATTATAATTTAATATTATTAATTAGATATGAAGAGATTTGGGCATATTTATACATTCGGCCCAAGTTTCCACATCAATCATGTTTACTTGAAAAAAATGAGTATTATAATTATATTATGAGTATAACAGAGTTTTTGAACATTTTTTCTCTGAGCCGAGATTGGGTACTTCAGTTTCGTATTTAGTATGGAATTCTTTTGAGTTTGTATGTTTGTTAATATGTTGTATAAAAATAAAAATTGGTATACAATTTACAATCGTGTCAAATTTATATAGGTACCTACAGGATAAAGGGTATGTAGGTGCAATATTGTAATTTTCAGTATAGATTGACTGTTATATTTTAGGTCAATTAATATCGTAAAAAACAGGGACGCCGATTGTTGCACATGAATTTCAGAGTAACAGTTCCTTGAATTGTGTCTTGATATTGTATTAAAATAAAGGTAGAATGAATTTTGTCTCGAGTTGAATTACTAAACATATTTATTTCAGGAGTTTTAAATCCTAAAGGAGTTATTGATCTTAGGATTCCTTTTTTATTTTTTTATGCAAATTATTAATTACTAATTAGTATTATAATTTATAACATAACTTACCTATTGCTTAAAAGTTAATAATATTAAATATGATATTTTGTACAGTTTTTTGTTGTTTGTATGTGTTTGATAAAAATATGAAGGCGTAAGAACTTTACACCTGACTTCGCAATCGATAACACTGATACTTAACTATAGTATAAATATTATGCACACATCTCAGTATCAGTATTTATTTCATAAGTTGTAATTGATTGTTACTTTTGATTAGTAGCCATGATATATAACAAAATAATTTACATGATATTACGTATACCATTGTATATTTAATTAAAAAATACATTGAATTTTAAATATTTGACAAATGTAAATTTTTCTTTAGGAAATACTAATGAATATTAACTGTAAATGAAAAGGTAACACGAATTATGTTCCAGACACCAGTCATGGTATATAAGTTTGAAATGGTGGTAAATATTCATCTCCAAAATCACACTAGAAACTAAATATCCGTATACTTTTTTCACTCAAGAATTTTTAAAAGCATTAAATTAGTATTAAATATTGAACTTGTATTTTTGGTAACGTTTTTTTTTTAAATTTTTAATGTGGCAATTAATGAAAAGCCAAAAAAAAATATGGTACACACGTGGGTAAAAAGGTTGCCGAAAGATGAAAAAAAACCATTCAGATATATATTTACCAAATAAATGATATGTACAAACAATGAATTAAATTTATTATAAATCAGGATTTACGATCCTATCGAATACATAAATATGCTTACCAGAATTCACACATCCGGGAGTGAAGCAAAATGTGTTCTCATTTCCATATTTTCTATTTTTGATGAGTATTTTAAATGGTGATTTCTTAATGAAACCATTATTTCTAGTTGATAACGATGGAATGCTCTCTGTGGACGTACATAATCGATTCAAAATTATAATTTGTATAATCGAGTTAAATTATCATTATACTAATCATTATTTTATTATGAATATAGTGAATAATATGATAAATATGATATATTTGTGCATAGTTTCACAATAAAGGTAAGATTTTGGTCGAAAACTGAATCGACCTCTGTGACAGTTCGAGACATATCGCTCATTGAAAGTCATGTGGCCATCTGATACATAATATACTTTTGGTCGACAACAGATCGAGACCAGAAAGCAGGAAAGCCGTAGATATTTTTATACTGTTAATAATAATTATATTGGAAAACAATAGAACAGTAATACAAGGCAGTCGACAATAAATAAAAAAAACAACCTTTGTTCGGGGAAATAATAATATATTTTTATTTATAGATTATATTAAGTTGGCGGCGAGAAAGCTAACTTAGCGTAAACCTGGGTCAGAATAAGGATATTAACATAGTTACAGAAAAAAAAAACAACTCAAAATAATGGGATGACGGGGTGTGCGATACCCCGTAAATAATAATATTATAATAAAAAACTACACAATTCGCATAGGGTGGGCATTATCCCGAGACGGAATGACTACACAACAACACACCGCACGGCTCCGATGAGACGATTATGGACAGGTGGAATAATAATAATAAAATATAATTACAAGAGAACCGACCACGGTGAGAAATAAAAATACATATTATTCACAAAAAAAAGACCACACACATAATGTTTGCCATGTGCGATGTGCCACCTGAAAGGCGCACCAGCAGAACGGCACTTACTCGTTACTAGACTACCTACCGCCCATGTTATGTTTCAGACGGGAAAAATTAAATGACTGGCCGTCGCTTTGTCTGCCGATATCAGGCCGTTGTGGCTGGAACGAACAGGTGACAGGCGAAAGAAGGGGTGACGTGAGCCTGGTGTATATATTATTATAACTAGACCAAGGGTACAAGGGAGGGAAGTGTATGTGCGACACGGCATATATGCGGTGCGATCATCGATTGGCGGAGACCTGTGGCCCTCGAGATAAGTTGTCTTATCGCAGACCGCGCTCTCAATTTACCTGCTTATATAATATATAAATGTATTTTTTTTTTATCAAATTCGTGTTCGTTCATTTGCGTTTTACGTCACACCTTTTAAGGTGATTGGGCATCGATTGGACATCGGTCGAAAAGTGAAGTGTTCAATTTTGGTCGAAAGCGGTTAAGCCCTAAATTGTATTATAAAGGAAAAAAAGCTAGTCCTAAATATGCCTCCAAATGATTACGTAATAAATGTCGGTATAGGTAGTTCATAATAATTCCAAACGATTCAAAATATTTATCCATGTTTATGATGTTTATCATATAATATTATTATCAAATGTTTTTTATTCTAAAAATCATATGTTGTTTTTATTTTTTAATAGTTGTCTATAAACAAACTTATATGCAACATGCATGTATAGTGTATACTTATAGTATAAGACACAATGTTTTTGATATATTGTACAGGCCATGTAATTCTAAATATCTAAGATAAACCACGATGTTTACTGTACACAATTGAAAAATAGGTATACAACTTAAATAATTTTGTTCATCAAAGTCGTAGCCAGGGGGGCACAGGTTAAAAGTGACCCCCCAAAGAATGTTTTTTATTAAATATTATGGTGCCATAAAGTAACAGGTGACATGTATTTTAGTTCTGAACAAACTAGAATTAAGTGCCTGTATATCTAAAAAAAAAATTCTTGTTGCAGCAATGTTATTGTAAACTTAATTTATGAAAATATCATTGTAACGTAAATATGTACATAGGGCGTGTTATTGGAACAGGCGATGCCCGTTTCCACCAAGAGTAGACTTTCCCCTTTTCCACCAATACCCGTTTCCGATAAAAGTGTGCTTTTCTCTTTTATACCAATATTCATTTCCACCAAATAAAATATTTACCGCTAATTCTGGGTGACATGCATAATGGGGGACCATTAGCTCACTATTAATTCAATAAATGTAAAAGTATTATATAATATTAATATACGACATAGGTTGGAAAATGTTTAATTGACGTATTTATGTATTATATTGCAGATAATATTATAATACCTAATAATATCGGTGGGTATTCAGGTATGCAGTTATATATGTGCATATAGGTATGTCATATGTACCTACTTACCGTAGCTAACACTCCTTCAATCGATATCATAATTAATAAATATAGCTTGGCGATATATATGTATACTTTATATTTTATAGTCGTATCTATCGCTCTTGTTATGTAATTGTACGTCTTCATTCGACGTTTTTCATCTTACCCGTATTGCATCTATGACTGAAGTATAACGTGGTTAGAGCTAGGGCCAGAAACGATGACGCTAATAGCATTCCGCCGGTGAAGATGATCAGTTTCAGTACCAAGTTCGTCTTCCTCTTTCACCATGTCGGTATTCTGAAACTGAGCAAGAGCTAATTATTATTCTGTGGCAGTTTATTATGAAATTGTATTATAAATATGTGTGTGTGTGTGTGTATCAGTGGCATATCGAAGAATTTTTTTTTTTTTTGGGGGGGCAGATCAATTACATTACAAAAAAACCAACATAATAACTTCAAAATTAGTGTTTAAAAAAATTATATTATAATTTTTTGAAGAGAGCTGTAGCCCACACAGACACTTTAGTTTGTATGTTAGTACCTATACCTAATAGCACAGCACATATTAGAGTGTAATACAAGTGCCTATAGCCGACGGTGATTGTAAACTGCGCTCAAGGTAAACACAAAATCAAACATGTAAACTGCGCCCCTATTTATCAAGTGTAAAAATCTTAAATGTTAATTTCACCAGTGTAAAATTATAAAATTTAAAAGTCAATATTTTTACAAAAATATGAAAAAACAGTGGAAGTCGTTCTATTGTATAATATTAATGAGTGTCGACTGTCGAGTGTACTTCGGCAAGTGGGTACCGCACTCTTGTACATTAGTTGTTTAGTGGGACGGTGTAACGGATGAGTCAAATATGAATTCAATAATGATAGAAAATCGTAGTTGCTTAGATACCAGCCAAAATTATCTACGTGCAAAGGTGAGCAAGTCAACACATTTTGTAGCCCCAAAATTATAACTGCTTATGGTTCTACAAAATAGAAGGTTCTATCCGTCACTGCACACGTATTTCGTTTAACTCTTTTAAAAAGACACTTGTCGATTTCTTATTAAGTGACCGTACAATATAGATCATCCCTTTTTACAGTGGTAAATATTCATATTTACGGTACCTGTTTCCTGCACCCGATATTCTGGCCGCCAGAATATCGGGTGCAGGAATCTAGCCGTTATGAATTTAACCTTGCTTATTATTATGAACTGTAAGCAAATTTTTATTACCAGGGTTGGAATTTTGTAGCACTTAAAATTGTATAAATATCTTCTATAATGCGTATAACTTCGAATAGTTATCGTTAAATATTAGCTAAAAAAAATAGTAAAAACTGCAAAATATTATGTAAAAAAAAAACAGAAATTTACTAATTATTACTTACCTACTCATAAGTAATTTATTATTTTTAAATAGTATAATTACTTAAATTTTGTGTTTACTCTGCTATTTTTAATCCTTTAAAACATATATATGCAAATGAAATAAATCCCAACCCTGATCTTTAAAATGATTGAAATACATTGAATAATTAATACTTCATATAATTACATTTTATGTGTAAATAAAAACCCGAAAAATAATGTTATTTCCTAATGATTGTCCATGAATATTATTGTCAATTCTTCATGACCAGACTAGCATTATTCGTCAAAGATGTTTTGTTTTTATCAACGATATTATTCTTTTACAATAAAAATTGAATACCAACTGTAGTGTAGTTGGTGCTAAAATACAATTTATTTTAATTTTAGGAGCAACAGGTACGCAATCCGTATATCAAGTTGTACCGTTTGGGGGCTGGAACTACCAGGGCCTCATCCATCAGTCGCGACGTTGGAAGCCAGATCAGAACGCACAGCGTTAGAATTCAACTCAGAGGGTAATCGTTTATATTATATGAGTGTAATATTATATATATTTGATTCGTATAATTTCATGCTATACGAGTATTGTCCGTCGTCGTTCAGTACGAAAGATACCCATAGGAGCCTTAAAATTTAATTACACTTTATGAAATGAATAATTCACATTTTTATTTTGTTTTATTTACGTATAATATTTTACTATAATTTTTAAACGAATAAGTGTTCTATATAATTTACTTAACACTGGAAATATTAAATACATTGCTAACAGACCAATCTTTTATGATTTTATGTTTTAAAAACGTACCAATACGAATCTGGTTGTTTATTTAAAACTATGTTGTGACTATTCGATCTGTGTCGGGACAATTCCCAACATTCCAAGTCGTTATCACGCATGATCCAAGACTTAATAATATTTCGACCATATATTTTCTTACTAATGATTTCTATACTTATCAGAGTTGTGAATGCGACTATTAATATCACTATATATTTTCTGCGCAATTTTTTTAACATAAAATATTGTGTCATGGCGTATACCTAAGGAACTGGAAAGTGAGTAACTCCAATTAAACATGTAATGGTATAACGCAGATATTCTAAAACAGTTTTTCTTAATGTAATATATATGACCAATGACATTTTATCGTGGTCTAAAAATTAAGTTTTTTATTTAAAATCTTTTTTAAAAATAGGAATTTTGTACAGTTATTTATTTATAATATGAATAAAATATTATTTTTAAATCAGTTGAGTTTTGAACGAATAAAAACAACTTATAATTTCAAAAATTGGATTGTTTTTACAATTTTATAATTAATGTTAATCTTATAGGTACCTAATAAATAATAAAGAATACATTACTCGTTGAAATTGTGTTCAATATATTTATTTATTCTATAATATTGTTCAATTATCCAGTATAGGCAATTTTAAATTTACAATAACTCTAGTTTCGTTACAAATACCATTTGTCAATAAAACTGACTTGTGCATGGCAGTTCATGGTGAACATGAAAGGAATATACTGAACAATATTAAACTATTAAAAATAGAATTGTAAGAACGCTTTAAAAACAATAAAACGTTAAAACTTCTGAAGATATAAACATGAGTTCAGAAAAAAAAATATTTAGTGAAGATAAATTTTACCATACTCATAGTTTTGAAAATATTTACCAATTACCGCGGCTTATTCTATATTATGTTCAGTGTATATTACATTGAGTATTATTGTATGTGTAATAATATATGTTTAATAACGATTTATGTTCTGTAATATGATTATTATTATTTGTAATTTATAAATGACAAAATTGAAATATAATTATGATAAGAATCGGTGTTTGGTTAAGTATTAATGCATATACGATTAGGACTTAATGTTGGGCTTGGGATAATTCAAGACGCAGATCGAATCGAATTTTATGATCGAAGACTCCAAATTCAGACACAATGAAATAATGGAAGAGCCGAAACAATCATTTTTTTTTGTTATTTTAGTATTACGCTCAATCGTTTACTCAAAAAAATACTTAAAACGCACACAATCGCACTACACCGACACTGGCAGAGCCGTAGAGGTGAAAACCAATAAGAATGTCATTAACTAAATAAACAAAATTCATTTAAGTACCTGATTTCCGAACGATTTTGTCCAATCATGATAGTCTTATAGTCCCGTTAGTCTTTTAAATATTTTTCAAATCAAAATGTTAACTAAAATAGTAGTACAGAAATTCATTAGTCAATAGTAAATTGGATTCAAAAAAAAAAAATGTTATTCAAATAAATTATTGTAACTAAGAAAAACTTTTATTTATAACTGTCGTTAATCAACAAGGTGTCATAAAGAATAATATTAGGAATCAATTAATTCTGAAGTATTTGTTTTATAAAATATCTGTACCCAATAATAATAATAATTTAATATTTTTGTTTTTAATCATTAACAAAATTTGGTTCCAACATAAATCCAACCTACCCCTTAATCATTAATAAAAATAAATTACTACCTGAACAATATTAATATACATAAGTAATATAACATAAATAAAATAGTAATAATTAGGAAACGGATTTGAATGCAAATTACATTTTTTCTGAATGTCCGAAAAAATTGCTTTCCAAGCATAAATTTTGGTTCATTTTATACATCAAGAAATTAAAAAATTTTATTTTTCATTTTTTGACATTTTTAGTGCATTTTTATGTTTTTAAGTCATTTTTTATAAAGGAATGGATAAAATTCGATTAAAGTGTAGATTAACATAAAAAATTATTCAATTTATTCATCATAAAAAAATATATTTATTATAATTTTACCGATCAGATAAACCCTGACTCCAGACGAAATTATTGTCGACGCGTGTAGACACACATACATACAAGTTACAACATATTACATGCAATGAGGTAAAGATAAGATAAACTATTTATCTAACTTGTAATTTTGTATTGCACTGTTGAGTTGAGTCATTACTTCACTTTTATTGTATTTAAATATTTTTTATCACACAAATTGTTCATGTTGTTTAAAAGTTTCAAGTTCAAAAATAGTATTTTTATTGAATTTAAAAATATTTTTGAAGATTTTAGGGTATTTTTTACGGCATCAAGTCACATTATTTTAGGATATTTTTCTTATTTTTTATTTCATTAAAGTCCGTTCCCTAGTAATAACTATTCAAGATATTGTTCGTCTTCAGTACGTATGTAAAGCATTTGATATTGTAATTTTCTTACGTTTTCAAAGTCAATTAAAATATTAAACATTTCAATATTTATGTATATACACATGGGTGTCGGGTATTTCACTCAATTTCGTGGTTTACTCCTTTAAATCTTGAACTTATATTAAAGCTAAAAAATTACGAATAAAATTATGAGGAGTTTATCATTATCTTTTTATATTTATTGAACATTTTGTAGTGAATTCTGTCTGTAGCTATCAAATTTCGCGGCACAGTCAAAAAATAAATATTAATTTAATTGAAAAATCTTCAATATTTCTAAGCACACTAGCGACTGAACAAAACTTGCTGCTCATTGATGGTTAGCGATCGGAACACTTGTAACAGAAACTTACGCTGTGATAGCCCCATGGCCATTGAACGAGTATTATAGTCAAACTGTCATACTACCACTGCCACCGAAACTAAGGAAAGGCTAGCGAATTTTGTGACCCTGATATGCGGATTCCGTGCTGACTTCCAGCGTTTTCCGGTCAATTGAAGTGCCAGGGCGTCTGGCATCTACATGAGGGGGGGGGGAGAGGGCAAACAAAGACAGTTGCAAAAACAACACAATCATTTTCATAAAATTATTATTTTGTTCTTAATGTTTTTATAGATTTGGATTATGTATTT